TACACACCTGCGGCGATGAGGCTGCAAAGCTTCCAGGGCCATACTTGTGCTAGTCGGCTTGGCATTGTCCAGACCGGATTTGTCGTCCATGCTCCGATCTGAGCATGTTCATGATTACCGTCACATTGCCTTCCTTGAAGCGGCCCAAGAAGCTCATGGCTGGAAGAGATGAACTCCGTGGGCTTCTTCACCGGTAATCGAGGCGGCTGTGGACGGTGAAGTCCAGTCAAACATTGATCCACCACCACTCCATAGGCCGGAAATTCAGCAAAGAGTCGTTCCCACTCAGCCATGGCGAACAATTCACTCTGGCAGGGCTGCTCGGCGAGGTAGTGGTTTCCATTCTGAACTTGCCATCGTGCGACCTCTGCACATAGTCCGCCCAGTTCACGGCCTACCTGACGCGTACGCAACCAGGTTCCGCGATTGATGATGCGATTTAACCGTGACCAGGGTCCGAATCCACTGCAAGGAGGGGCCATGATGACGAGCTTGGGTTTGACTCGCTTGAGGTAGTCCCACAATGCCCGCACTTGCCGAGGGTCTTGCAGATCTGCCCCAGTCGCCAGGTCGAAATTGCGACCGGTCTTCACGTCGAAGCGACGCATCAGGAGTTGAGTGGTTCGACCCTCACCACCGAACATTTCGATGACATCGATACGGGAATGTTGATGTCCTCCACAGGTTCCAAATTCGTGCTCCATCATCTTCTCCACCATGTAGATTGGTGTCCAGGAGCATGAACTTTCCACCTCCTGTACGCCGCTTCCGAAGAGCCATCTGCCGTTTCCATAGGCAAAGTGCGTGAGCGACGTCTCTAGCATTGTCGCCTCCTCCTTCCAACTCGTCAGTTCAAGCTGACCACCAATGCCCATAAAGAAGGTCTCCTCTAAGTCACTCTTGCCCAGTCCGCTCAAGTTCTCCCCGCAATCATCATCATGTCTTTCAGCGAGGATCTTCCTGCGTACCGCAACGTGACCGGCCTTCTTCTTGTCCTTCTGGCGGATCGCTTCCTCCGTGGGAAAAGCCACAAAACGGACTGTTCTGGCGGAATGTGCTGGTAGTGCTTGAGATGAGGTTGCCTTCGTTGGCGATGTCGATGTAGTGTCAACCATCTGCTCTCGTGAGGAGTGCCTGCGCTCGAACCTGCTTTGTCGGAATCGTTGACTCAGGTTGCCTGTCCGTGTCTCTCCCTGTGTTGGGAACATTCTGTGCCAATGCTCCCGTCGCCACAAGATGCTTGGCGCAGTCTTTGACGATGCCGTGGACCACTTCCTGCTCCACGTTGTGTTGCTGGGTCTTATTCAGCTCCATGAGGTTGTAGTGCTGTTGAGGTTGCCCACAGTGACAACCATCCACTGAGGGCAGATTGCAGTTGCTGTAGAGCAGAATCACCGCTTTGCAAGGTAGTGCTTCACGTTCCGTCAAAGACTGGTAATTGCAAAAATGGTGCCTCGTGACGTTCAGGTGCTGTAGCGCCGAGGCCACCGGTCTCAAGTTCCATGCCTGGCTCCTGGCATTCGCCTCTATAACACAGAACCGCAGTCCACCAAGCTGCTCGTGCACTAGTTGCATAAGGTTGTCCGTCCGGCTGTTGTCGTGACGGTTTCCGCTTCCCACACATGGTCCGGCCAGCCGTATCCAAAGGAGTTGTGGTTGTTGTGCTTGTAGCGCTCGCAGAAGATACTGACCGTGACCACGTGAATGAAGATCGTGATGGACATACATAGTGCGTACTCCAAGAGCTTGTAGTGCTGCTTGTCTGATGCCTTGGCGGTCGCCAATGATCCAGGCCAGAAACTCAGCACCTCTGCCAACGTAGATGTTGCTGTTGGCTAGATGCTTCACACTCTGACTCAGCTGTGGCAATGAATTCTGGCTCATGCATTCTCGCTGCACCAGTGCAGCTTGCCGCCCACCGGCGACTTGTCAACCTTCCCGCTCAGGCTCCTCAACCGAAGGAGAAGCTTCGCGCCGATCTCCGCGCCCGGCACTTCTTGACCTCGAACGCCGCTCATCGCGGGTTTGCCTGCATCCCATGGTGGTCGTCGGGTGGTACTCGGCTCTCCTCATCAGGAAACTGCATCCAGGTGTCCACCTCCAAGATGAGATGTCCTGACTCGCTAACCTGCAGAGGCAAGACAATGGTGCCCGGGCTGGCTTGTACACGTAGTCCGCCATCTCCAGGAATGATCAACCGCTTATTGGTGCCCATGTCCAGTACCGCGGACTTCGCCATCAAGCTGCGTAGACCAAGCAGAGGGGGAAGCTCGGAGTCCGGCACAACTGGCGCGTTGAAACTTCCATGAAGTTCACCGCCTTGTTCATCGGTCATCCAAATTGGAACTTGTGCCGCAATCGTCGCCTCCTGAGCTCCACGGCCAACGCCTTCGATGGTGAGCTTCCTGGTGAGTGGCCGCTCTCGATGCGGCCCAACCTGCAGTGTCAGCGCCGATCAGGTTGTCATATGAGCGCCCGGGTCGACCAGCAAGCCGACCCTGTTGCCGTCCAATCAAATGGTATGTGCCCTGCCGATCGCCCACCTGCCCTGGGATCTCATTCTCAAGCTCCCACCAAGGAAAGTTTCCTTTTCCACCGCCGAATCCGGGAAAGCTCTTTGCCTTTGGCTGCTGTGACGTGAAGCCCAATATGAGAGAGCTGATGCCATCCACCGCTCGCTGACGAAGCTGGTCCTCATGGGTCACTTCGCCCTGGCTGGATCTGCAGCTCCTGTGGGTTGGTAGTAGATGAAGTAGCTGCGATTCCATCGAGCGCAGGACTGGCACTTGGTGGAGGGTGTAGAGGGGGTTGAGCTCCAGAAAGCAGTGGGATGACCTGCGGGTTGATGCTGATCGTTGGCGTCCAGTTCGGAGGACTGTCGGCCAACCTCTTATGTGGACTTGACGTTGGCGGTGTCGACGTAGTCCAAAATCCCATCATGCCACCTCCCGAGGCCACCGAGGGTGTCGGTGTCGTCGCCACCTCCTGTGTCAAGGTCGGTTGCCAGGCCCTCCGCCATGAGGCTGCTCCCGGATGTGGCCGCCAGCCAGGAGGATCAGCCTGTGTGCACTGCCGCCACAGGTGTGTCTCACTGCCGCACTTGGCACAGGCTAGTGGCTTGCCGTCTCGCCCACGAGGGTTTCGGCGCCCATCGCGCCCACCGCCTTTTCCGCCTTTTCCGCCTTTGCCACCGGCGAAAGCTGAGGCGGGCAAGGTCGATGTGTAAGTGTTGCGGTAAGGACCTTGTTGCAGTCTTTGCACACCCTGATTTCTCCGGACATTGAATCGCCGGTATTTCCTTGGCGGTCGCCCGGTGAACCGTCTCCATCGTTGCTTGGCCATCATGTAGTCGTGGTAGAGCTCACCCTGCACAGCGCCCACGTCCGTCCTGGATTGGCCGTCCACTTCAACGGTCTTGTAGTACTTGAGCTCCTCCTCGTCCAACTCCACATCTGTGTCCGTGCCGGAGCTGAACTCTTCGTCGAAGTAGGTACCGCAGGTGCCGCACTGGTAATCCAGGTCGTTGCCACTGCTCCGCGTGGTTTCCGCTCCGGCCAAACCGGGACCAGTTGCCTGGTGTTGCCGTTGCTGTAGAAATGCTGCCCAAGGATCAGGGCCCATGCCCAGACCGCCCGGCGCTGGTTGTTCTTGAGGTTGCCAAGGATCTGGATGAGCACCTCCACCTGTTCCAAACGTGGGGAAATAGCCGTAGGCGCCGGTGTGACCTGCGGCGCCCTGATGCTGTGCTCCCTCGTTGCCATGCTCGTAGAGATGGCCCATCCTCCTCAAACGCTCAATCAACTGGTTGAGCTCATCCTCATTCTGTGGCATGCGTCCTCCACCCGGTGCCAGCAGTCGGTCTTGTTGTTCGGGACTGCATCTGCAGGCTCTGATGAGAAGCCATGCTGCTCCCGTGGAGTTGGTTCCGAGGCCACCCTGGTTTGCAGCCCTGTTCCGTAGGACTTCAAATCGAACCAAGAAAGCATCTATTGGCTCGTTGGGCAGTCGAGCCAAGTGTAGATACTCTGACAAGGCTCTTGAGCTCGACTCAATTTTTCAGGGGGCCGTACCGGTTGGCTAGCGTTTGGGCGAGCACCATGATACCAGGAACGTGGTTGCCCAGGTTGTCGTTCATGCCGTCTCTGAGTTCATCAAAGGTGTGCTTGCCTGCAATGGGCTCGTGCTTCTTGGTGTGGTAGTCGGGAAGGCCACCCATGTGAAACTCAGTGCGTAGTAAGGTAACTCCGGAGTGCGTCAAGGCACCATGAGCAAACTTTATCTGCGAGCTCATGGCGTGATTGGGCTCATGTTCGCCCTCCTCCACAAGGCAGAAGCCAGGAAGAGAACGAAGGCACAGTACTGCAAGTAGTGCCACGAGCACGAACAAGGCCGTTCGTACCCGTCGCCCGTGGTCGCCAGGAAAGCAACACACGGGCTCCGCTACCAAGTCGAAGTGATCGTGTTCGGCGCGGACTCCCTGTTTTCCGCGATCCATGGCCTGGAGGCCGTCATGTGAAACTGTCTACTTCAGCTCGAGCCTTCATGGCACGAACATGCAAATGTGGTGCAACCTGGTACCTTTTGACTATCCAAACCTTTCTTGCAAGACTAGCAAAATAGCAGCAGGTCTCTCCAACAAGCCGGAACAAAATGGAAGCGAGATCTGCCCCACCCCCTACACACGCACGAAAAGCCAGGCCCCTTGTGGTGGGCCGGTCTTGCCGGCATTGAGTATTTGCACCTTCCCGCCACATGACAACCACGTACAACCTCCAGGATGGTCCACAGCAAACATTATCTGAGGACTCATGCGTAAAACGCACACATACCGTCATGACACAGAAACAATCCTGCGGAAAGCGCACCGGTGCACAACACAACTAGTGAATGGCTACTTGGATGCAATACACTAGAGGCCCACATGGAAGTGCGACAAACACATGGAATGCATTGACTGTCCGTTTCAAGTGTAACACAAACTCCCTACCTGAAGGCGGGTCCTTGTCTTGCGTCTCGTCTTCCTCTTTGTCCTCATCTTGCCTGGGCATGTCAAAGTTGTCAGCTGCGCTTGAAGTCGCCCCATCGGTGCGATATCTGAGACGCTGGCGGCGCTCCGCTGTTTAGCACTTGAAGCCTCCATGATGCCCTGGCCGCGAGCTCTTCCTTTGAGTGCTGTGAAGCACATATGTGTGTATATGTATATACATATATATTGTATGTGTATTTTATTATATGTGTAAATACGCCGTGAACATGTATGTAACATTTATGCCTTGATTGCTATGCCATGCGGTGCTTTGAACCTCTGACAAGTCAAGCTTGATTGCTCCCGTCAAATTTTGGAGTGTGCGCTTACATGTCTGTCCTGGCGGGTCTGTTTTGTGTGCTTCTCTACAATGAATTCGGCAGGGGAACCAGCACGTGGGTATCTGTTCGTTCTGGACACCGTTGCATATTGTTTCCTTTGCTTATAAGCGTCCACGAAAGGGTCCCTTGGAGAACAGCCACCCCTTCAACCCCCTGCAACATGCAAGGCTTTTGGCTTTTCAGAAGCTGCAGATTTGTCGAACCCTCTCCGCAGCCCTCCCTGGGCCCACCCTCCCATTGCCTCCACAACATCGGGCCGGGAAGCAATGCCTTTCCGAGCGAGTCCTCGGGAACAACATCTTCCCAGATGCCAGGCTAAAAGCAGGTCCTCACCCTCGCTGTGCGTTGCATCCACACGCCGAACTGGAATGGCACAAGCACCAAACATGGACCACACTGCCTTCATAGCCTACTTTTCTGGTGCCGCCTTGTGCCGCTGCCTTTTCAAGGGGTCCAAACAAGCTCCAGCCTCCGAATCGAAGGAGCTGGATCTGCTTCGACCTGCAAGTGGGTGCAGGTGATCTCACTGTCTTTGGCAACCAAAATTAGCTGAGGGAAATAACCGGCGTCCCCTTGGGATGTTTTTAAAGGTCAACTCTATATTCCCTGCATAAAGCCAGGTCCAATGTCGGTCAGCAGTCAGCCCTTCCATGCCGGCACATCTGTATTTTGACCGCTTTCTCCTTGGCCCGAAGTTGCCAGTTGGCCATCCAGCCAATCTGCGAAATCACAAGCAAGACTTGTAACCTGACGACATGGGCAACGGACATTGCTACCTATGCTTGTGGGCACTCCTCATGCCCTATGTCCCCTTTGTCTGTCTCCGAGAAGGCCCATACGCACGAGCCCAGGCCTCCAGCAGACTCGTCACACCTCGAGGGCTCAACGGAGGCTTCCAATCCCTGGAGCTTTGCAAGCGCCCGATTCTAATGATCTTTGCCACCGTGTCAAGCCTTTACTTCTCGTGGATCCTGCCCACGGGCCCAATTTCGTGGCCCGGCTTGAGGCCCGTGCCTTGTTGATATCGTTTCATCGTCGCTGGTGCTCGGAGATGACAATGCGAAAGGCACCTGGGACACACACTGAAGGCGCGTGTACAAACTAAAACCTAGATATTGAAGAACTGAAGAGAATGCCGGGCCATTTCCAACAACCCATGAGCGCGTCCCAGGCCTTTCTAACAGGTACCAGTAAATCAAACAACACAAACCACATAACGTTTGGCACTGTCCAGTTGAGAGTTTATAGCTTGGTCCCCCTATGCGGTTGATGCCCTCAGCATGGCACGTGAACCAACCACATCCATCCACATCCATCCATTCGCCTGTCCGTGCATCCGCACATTCCGGGGTTTCCAGTTTGCTGTCTATTGGCAATACATTGCCTATATCAAAGACCATGGTACCTCGCACCAACAAACATGAAGTGCACTTCGTTGGGTCTGAGGGGAACCTAATTTGTTGGCACCACAGGGTTCCCAATTCCCCTTCAAAATGACACCACCGAAAAGGATCCCCCTGTACTGTAAATTGACAGTTGATGTGGGTGTGTCTGTTTTTAGGCGACCCCCCAAAAATGCTAGTTGCCTGCGTGCTTTGCCTTCAAAACAACGCAAAAGGGGTCATCTCCAAAAAACACATCCATGTTTAATCCTTTAATCATCCGTTTGGGGGATGAGCTCTGACCCTCCCCCACTCCTCCCCTTCCTCCCCCGGCGCCTTGCTGGGCCAAGCCTCCGCTTGTTGCATCGCCAAGGCCAGCACCCGGCGCTCCAACTCCGGGCGCAAACCAAAGGCCTCCGGCTCAACAAGCGTTTTTCGAAAGCAACACACCCAACACTAAGTAGGGCTCTCAACATATGGCCATGGGTCAAAATCCCGGTTTGCCCGTGAACATCCGATTCAATCCAACCACTAAAGTAGGTCCTAAAATGGGTGGTGAATTCACCTACCCCAAGCTGGTATCGGGTTTGACCCACAGCCATATTGCTCCCCGAAAGTGCAGCCAATTTGGTTCCCTCGAAATACCAACCAAAAGGGGGTTTACAACACGGAGATGTAAAAAAAAACAAGTCTGTGCATATTATGAACTGTAAGGAGTAAACGTATAATCAATCTATACTCACATAAGCACATTCAAACTTACACGAATAGAATACAACATAACGCAACTCTACAACAATGTTGTAACAACTGTACGTGTGCAGAAAGGTTTTGCGCAGAGAGTGCATATTCCGGCAGTAACCGCCAAAATCCACCTGGCAATCCGAACGCCAACTCCGAAACCAATGGGCCTCAAACCCAATGCCCACTAATCAGAACTGGTAGGGAACTTGTTTTTACCGTTGCCTTGGTCAGTTTGTCCATCGTCCAAAAAAACAAGGTATCCAAAGGACCGATGCTCGTGCATATACATATATATATATATATATACCAGTACGACCATGATAATTCTGGTCATGCATGATCTCGGACCCTCCATGTATCTATATATAATATACACACATGTATGTATATGATACATCATACTGTTCCCACACCCTTCCACTCATGTTAATGGACCTGACACTGGGGGTTTGGGTATGGACCATGCTCAGCTGCCCGGCCTCGCACATGCGGCGCATCGCCTCGTCGGCGTGGAAGCCGCCTCACGGGGAATCCGCTCGCCCAGCTTGCCGGGGTCTGCAAAAAGATCCCGTGAGCCGCTTAGAACCCGAATCCACGGAAGGAGAAGGAGACAGAGGAAGAGAACCAGGAGGAAGAGAAAGACTTGAGGAGCGGGTGAAAGAAAGCTAGCAGTTGTTGCATGAGATGGGTCGGTGACAGAGTGGATTCATAGGTAGCTTGTGCGCAACGAGAGGCCCGGCAAGATTCGTAGGATGCGACACGCAAACGCACATGGTGGCGTGGCAAACCTTAAAACATGAAAACAACGAGAGGCGTCAGAAGCTGTCTTAAAGTACCTCTGGGTTCTGCATGCAGCGTGTGCAAAGATTCTTGCGAGGTGGTTTACCGAGAAGACTGAGGTCTCAAATGAACAAGCTGAATCGGTGGAACATGTAAAAGTTCGTAGCACCAAGTCCAAAACGGGCAAACCGAGACTGCTGAACACTGAGCCACTGCCCGGGGGGGGGGGGATGGACCAGGGAGGAATCGAGCCTGAGACCCGGGGGGGGGGGAGGGGGTCTAAATAATTGATGTTTTTCAATCTTTTCGGCTCAAATAATTGAAAATATCAATCTTTCGGCATTTGAGCCCCTTACCTTGCTTACGCAAGGAGAAACTTCAGCTAGCTAAAGCTAGCTTTCGTGACAAAGAGAAAGAACGCGGAAGAGGCAGAGGAAGAAGAGAGAGACAGAGAGAGAGAGAGAGACAAAGCGAATGAGAAGAGAAAGAGAGAGACAGAGAGAGAGAGAGAGAGAGAAAAAAAAACCAAAAGAACAAAATGAAGATACAGAGAAAAAAGAGAGAGAAAGAGAGAGAAGGGAAACATATGTTTTCCCAAAACTATAGCTCTAGTGATTTGAAATGTCTACTCCCCGGCTTTTCTTGTAGTTTGGACACCAGGTCTTTCCCGTCTTCTCGGGCCTAGGTCTATGGGCCTTGGAACAACACGCGTACGCATGCTGCCAACATTCACCACAATCGATAATTCCGAGTGCTACAACCGGCTCAGAACTACCGCCACGCAAACAACGAATGCCAGCAAGCAACGCCTGCCAAAGGTGAAAAGGACAGTTTCACCCAGCTGAAAGCAAACACATTTCTGCACTAGCAACACCGACTGCATTCAAAACTCGAATCCCGAACAACACCAGCAGCCAAGCCCTCACACCAGCGCCCTCTGGCTCCCTTCAAACACAACCAAACAAAGTAAGGGGGATCCCTGAAACAAGTCTACTTAAAACCAACACAAAACAGACAACACCAACGAAGATGTCTGCAAAATTACACCGACACAAAGCAGTAGTCGCCTGTTCCACCGACCCCCGCGCCTTCCAGCACGTGGCGTGGCCAGTTCTGACCATGTCGGCGCTCCAGCGCCGCCACCAGCTCACTGCTGCGGCGCTCCACCAGTCGACCGCGCAAACGGTCCACCACCAGGTCCTCGGGTCGGGTCTCAGGGTACATGAGGCTCGGTTGGTGTCTTACTTAAGACAACCCCCCAGTTGAGACAACCCCGCCGCTCCCTTCCCCCAAAAAAGGGGGGTTATGTCCATAAAAGGGAACAGGTCCATGGGTGTGGCCTTTTGATTGAGCCTCAAAGTGGGGCGTTTCCCTTGGGTTTCCCTTTGGCTAAGTGAAAAGGGTACCTTCCAAAAACACTCACCGAATGGATCCGGTTTCAGGCTAACTGCGCCCAACAACAGCAAGTTAAGGGAAGGAATCCAATTGACGACACGTTGGAACCCAAATTTCGCGGAAGGAGCCGTGAACAATTACAGAGTGGGCTTTGGCCAAAAGGACATTCGTCTGGGCATATTGCAGAGTAGATGGTGCAATTCCCATGCCGTGGGCAAGTGAGGGGGGTGATGAAGCTAATATGGCGGGTGTTTTGGGGCTTGTCCGGGAAACCTCTCAATTTGGCTCATTTCCTCTTTTGTTTCTGGTCAACTGGCCAACTTTCTGCTCATTGCTCCCTGACAGCCTCAGGAATTGTGGTTGCAAACACCCACCAAACATTCAGTCCCATGTTCTATACTCAAAACCAGCCAATGGGATCCAAACACGGACTTGTAAGCTAAAAAGCTCATCCACCAAGAACTACAGGCATGGCAGTTCGGGGTCGCAATGGCAACCAAAAAACAGCGCAACTTGAGAAACGAAGAATAACCCCAAATCCCTGAGAAGCAACAAAAGAGGTTCTCCAACAACAGGCTCCTGAACAAGTTGGTGACTTGAGTTCCACTTTTTTTCAGCGTGCTCTGGGGATTCTCGCACCAATGGTTTGCCGTTTCTCAGCAGGGAATGAGGGAATGACCCTCTACAAACCAACCCCTATAGCTTCCTTCAAAGGAATCCCCTTCCGGTTCATTCCCAACACCCGGACTCAGACATTCCGTATCGCACCGATCGCAAGTTATCTAGAAGCTCAGCATTATTCCACCTATCACATTCGCTGCGGGTGCTCTCTCGAGGCACCTTTGGTTCTCTGGAAGCGATGCCAAAAAAAAAGAGGCTCCATTTCGCCGCGCTTCTCTCTTCTTGTTGCCCGGCGATGGGGCGGGCGGAGGTGAAGCCATGCGCTGCCTGGCTGCGTCGAAGAAACCGGAGCGAGGGACCCTCCCAAAGCAAAGAACATGGGCTAAGTGGACTTGTGCTAGGATCTGGATAAAACAAGAGCCGCTAAGGTTTCTGAAGAGAACCAAGAGTTAACATGTGAACGGAATCAACCTCTTAATTACAAGACTGCAAAGGAGGTTGATGCTCTGCGAGAGAGCTGCCTGAAGGATATGCCGCAAAAGCCGAGAACCCATAACTCTGAGGACCACGAAACAACAAGTAGCTGTTTTTGACCTGGAGGGTCCTGTCATGCTTTTCAATACTTCCACGGCTCAAGGAGCTGAATCCGGACTGTGGAAAACAGGGCCTAAAGCCGCGGAGCGTGCAAGTGCCTGCGAAGAAAGCAGGATCACAAGTTTACTGAACCGGCAACCATATTATGAACAACGCGCTTTGTGGATGCTGAACTCACTTTGGTCAAATAGGCCCTCTATATCCTTCCGCAGGTGAAGCTGTATTGTCGGGCACCTGGATGTCGCCTGGATGTCCTTCACTCGCAAGGCCTGGCAAGTGTCACGAGCTTCATACCCGACAGTCTCACCAACCGAGAGTCCCAAAAACCAATCAACCGCAAAAACGATAGGGGCGCACCCAAATGCCCTGGTTTACATTCAAACCCGCGCTTCCACCAGAGCACCAATGATGTTGAAAAGAAGCAAGTTAACATGTAAACGGAATCCTTTGCAACATGACCCCTAAACTGTCTGAGGTAAACATAATGTAAACATAACCTCCGAGGTAGTTGCAAGGTGTCCTTCCGAGCTGCTACCCTTTTGGGGTGGTAAACCAAGTAAACCAACCGAGGCCCGTGCTCTTCGGGCCACCAGCCGGTTCTTGGGCCGCTTCTCCGGCTTGGTGCGGCGCCTCCACAAGCGTTTTGGGGCTTTGGGTCCAAGGCCTCCCCTGGACCCCTGGCCAAGAGGAGCCATTTTTCCCACCCAGAGGCTCCTGACAGGTCCTGGCTTCGGCTTTCAATGGAAGACCCGGCCCCTCCATTAGACACCCCGAAGGTAGTTCGGGGTCTCAAAACCTGGTTGTTTGAAGGCCCTAAATCAATCGGGAGCCTCTGAGCATGAAAAAACGTATCGAGAGAGGATGTGATGAGTTTTTCCAGAGGCTTTGAAGGCATCCCCGATCTGACCTTCACGGCTGGAAATTGCTCTTGTTATGATTTGAGATATGTAGTTGCGCCAGACAGGTGGTCCGGCAAGGCTGGGTATGTGTCTTTCCAAAAAATTGAGGGGGGACCCCCTCAAACTGGGCTTTGGTTTCCTTTTGACATCCCCTTCAAAACATCCAACAAGGGGTCCCCCATTGTTACACACATCCATGGACTTGCGGCATGTTAGCTCTACTTCCATGAATCTTCTGATGTGTTGGAATAGACCAAAGGCGGTGCATTTCAACACCTGCCCACCAAACACCGCTCTGATCATATTGTCGGTTGCTCCTGTACAGTATACATCCTATGTACACATTATACCCGGAGTAGGGGGCACCTGGCTCTGGCGTCTCTGTTCATGACAATTCGCCTCCATGACATTTTGCGGTGAAGTCGCAAAAGTTGGGAGCAGCGGCCTTACGCGCCAATTATGAGAACTCAGGGGTGTCGTTCACAGAAAGTCTCCTGACGGGCCGACCGAACCGGCCTGAGGTTCCGCGCCTTGCCGCAGCTACAGCCCGTCGGAATCTGAGGCCTGAAGACGTACCTAGGCACCCCGAGCTTCGGGGGAGAAGCAGTCCAGAGTCATGGTCCCATAGCTGGGAAAGATACTACATGGGGGTGGATCAAAAGGTCGGTTACGTGGAACCATTGGGGCGAACCACAAGAAAAATGATATATATATATATATATATGTATTTTTTCACAGGGGAAAAAGGGGGCCGAAGGGAATATTGATCAACCCCCACATCTCTAACTCCGTCAGCCCCAAGTTCAATAGCTGTGAGCTGTGAATGCAAACCTCAACGATCCATCCAGCCCCGTACGGAATTCCAGCCCCGACATGAACAGCTGATCATTATGTTCCTGGAGTTTTGATTGGAGCTCGAATGGAAAGCAAGGAACGCTCCTTTGTCAGTAATTTCAAAAGCCGCGTGAGCTGTTGGCAACCTGTTACTTGACTTACCCTCGGGATTTGAGGTTGGTGTGCTACAAGGCGGCAAAAGGCCGGTATCAAATGCCGAGGCCACGCAAATCGCTCCATTCTCACCTCCAAGTGGCATCGCTGCAACCTGTTCTGCGACGAAAATGAGTACCGCTTCGACTCTTCCTGCCTTCCTTTCTCCTTGGCAGGGGGCCATTTGTTGCCAGGTGCTGTGTGTCTGTGCAGTGAGACCCCTGTGGATGATGCGACGGCCATCGAAAGAAAAAGTCGGGATCGTGCTTCCAGTCAGGACGGCATACCGTGACAGAATGCCATGTATTGGCAAATCTGTCAGCCGGGCGAGCCAAACATGTCATCTTTTCAAGCAAGGCGTCACTATTCAAGTGGTGCACCACTGTCGCTCGGACATAGAAACCATTCTAGGAAGATTCGGTGCTACAACGTTTGATTGTCCGTCAATAATAGTGATGGACAAGCAAGCATTGCAACACTTGATCCTTCTAACATGATTGATTGATGCCAAATCTGCCAACTGATTTCCGGCTTGTCTCACGCGCTCTAGGTGTTCGGCAGGCTCGTCGTATATGCTGCTCTTCGAAAATTAGGTAACACCTCAATCTGTGCAGAGAGCCGAGGATTGGGGGAGCCAGCCCTCTTTACTTTTCGCTCTCGACCGTACGACAAACAGTGGTTTCAGCGGAACTAAGTGGCACGCATTCCTTCCGCTTCAAAATGTCCACACGCTTTTGACCGGGGGATGTGTCAAAACTAGAGACCCATCAAGCCTCCAAACGTCCGAAGCCAGCTTCTCACTTGCCAAAAAGGATTCCCCGTTGGCCGTGTGAATGTTTGGGAAACCAACAGGTCACCATTTGATCAACTTTTGGCAACTGAGTGTGGCAAATGACGGGCTTGGGAGGCACGGCCTCCTCCCTGGGCAAGCCCTGAAGGCTTATGAAAACAAAAACGGTTGCAAGACCAAAGACCTGCATGGACCCCTGCAGTTGAGAAAGCGTGTCACAAACCTGGGGCACCCCTGAGAACTTGAAAACTGGTTCTTAGCTGAGCTGGCAGGTTTCCCCCCGATTTCCCTCAAAAACCGATCCAAGGCGTGCTCGGTGGCTGACAAGCCAACAGTTCCTTTGGTTCCCTGAGCCGCCGGCCCGGCCGGTGCGGAAGACAGCGCAGTTGCTGCACCGGGGCGCTGCACGAATTCCCCACGCCGCGTCGGATGCGCGTCGGATGCGCGTCGGATGCGCGTCGGATGCGACGTCGGGGCTTGACAGGTCTGCTCCAAGAGATCGCAAGGCGACCCGTTGAGCTCCAAATGGGTCGACGAAACCAACTGAACCATATCAGAGATCTAACACGCACAATGCTTGTGAACAGTTTGATCCTTTGAAATGGAAGCAGACCTGTCCAAAAAGGCTTCGGTTCGGATTTGAACTTGCGAAAGCGGTGTGAGGTTGGCTGGGGTGGGGTGTGCTTTGCAAATCTATGAACTGGCTACCAAAAGGGGCGCACCTGTCACTGATGCTAACAGGTAAGTAACTCTGTCATGTTGTGGTGCTGCCCTTTCTTTGTCTCGACTCCCTAGAGAGCCAGTCTTGCAGCACGGCACAGGCAAGGAACCCAGTGACGACCCCTCATGCCACTCCTGCAACCCCAATCAGGTCAATTCGCGGTTTTTATCAGCCGTTTGCTGATACTCTGCAACCGGCAAACGCTTTCCCAGCAGCATGTCTACCCAACTTTCCACCGAGCTGACGCCGGCGACAGTGAGCTGGTCTCCAGGATTGGGAATACCGACTGTTCAACTCACGCAACAGTCCATTCCAAAGCATCAGTATTACTGCCGCTCTCTCTTTGTGCAACATCTGTTCGGGCTTAGGCTGTTGCCACCTGTAACAGGACGGCACAACTGTTCAAACATTCTAACTTAGATTCGCTTCCAAGGGAAGCATTTCTTACAACCCATGTTTCTTGCGAATAGGAACCAGAACCTCTCCAGTCAAGTCCCATGCGACCCAGTTATCCTGGGACCTTCTTGAAGCTCGTCATTCGTGGGGAGCCTACCAACAACCAACAACCAACAACCAGCAGCCAACAACCAACAGCTGACAGCCAACAGACCAACAAACCAACAAACCAAGAAACCAACAAACCAAGAAACCAACAAACCAACAACCGACAACCAACTGCTGAATCGCCTTGCTCTCGAAGCCCGAGGCTGGCTGCCGCTTCTCCTTCTTGGAGCCTGCCAGTGGCAAAGTCCCGGCTGTTCTGCAGCAGCTTGGCTTGCTCAATGCGATAGGCACACATCAAACATAAAACATTTGATGGATGTGACACAGCACAACCTAATGGACAAACCAACATGAGATAATATATTAATACGAATTAGCCAGAGCGCAAGGCCTGAAATCCTTTCTCAAGAGAGTATTCGGACATCCAACCTTGGAGCGTAAAAGGCACGTATAAAGCACCTGAGGAAACACTTATGTGCTTGCAAAAACCTTGCATCAGTTGTCCTCCAGTCTCAGGATCGAAAGGACTGTTCTTGACTTGATCATAGCTGATGTCTTGTTGTGGTGATTCGGCGCGGACGACCACAAAGCACCGGCCTGAAGGTGAGGACGGAGAGGAACCTGCCATGCGTTTGATGCTTGCTGGCAGACCTATGTCTATGATCACTGTGAACTGGGCATGAGCCAAGCCCTGCCGCAACCAAGGCATTCGCCAACAACTGCTCTGATGCAGAACGCGGGCCACTCTCTGGCATATTGTCCAGCAAATCCTGCACGTCCCTGGAAAATTGATACAAGTGGTGAAATAATCTGCCTGGGGCTTTGCTCTTCATCCCGTGGTGGCAACCTTATGGACGTTGATTCCAGGTAAAGCATTCTGCCCATCTGCCTGCATACAAACCACCCGCCAAACCACAATAGCCACCACCACTTCGCGAGCCCTTCGCACCAATGCCGGGTGTCCTCCTAACTGGTTCACAAAATCCTACCCTCCCAATGGAAGCCGGCGATCGGTTGGGTGGAAGACCGACCATTCCTTTCCCTCGGGGAAGCACCAAATCGGAACCGCCCAGAATCCAAGACTTCGCCTTTGTCACGGCGCCGCCGGCTCCGACTTCGCCTGGCCGAAACGGTCCAAAACATCCACGGGCTGGAGGACTACCGGAAGAAACCCCGAGGGCACTGGGAGTACTGGGACTACTTGGAGAAACCACTAACTGAGTAGACTTTCTTTTGGATTTATCGGCCAGATGCACTGGCAGCGAAACCTCCGCGGGTGTATAAAGCCAGGAATGGGTGCCTACGCGAGCCTGCGCCACGACAAGTGCGAACGCCGAGCGCCTACGCGAACCTGCCTACGCAGGAAATTCTTGAACTGACTACGCGATCGTTTTCCCCACTAGAATTGCCTGCGGTGCCGCCTTCCCCCGAACGCCAAGCGAATGCAGAGCAAACACATCTGCAAACTAGTGGCAGGACTTTGTGCATCCACAGTAACCCATGATTCTGATGTTGAGCAACCCTCTCAGACGAATTCCCTGTCCAACATGGCGACAATGTTCTCCCAAACGGGCACCAGTCAGGTTGCAAGTTAGATCATTCACCTCAAAGGGACACTCAACAAAAGATCCTTAGGTTGCAAACCCCCAGTAAGGTTGCCATTCCCCAGAAGCAAACACACAACTGACAAGCAAAAGGATGGCCACAAGGAACCCGCACGATGTCTTCCATGTTGTCGCGTGATTACTATGTGCCTCAACATCAATTCCACTCCCTTCAATTGACGGTTGGTCAAACGGCCAGTGAACATCCTGGCTCATGGTCATGATGTGTCATGATGCTCCCTGCCAAATGCTGCATATGCCCACAGACCCACATTCCCCCCAGGCTTGTACATTTGTGGCACGTGCTCGACTCGCTCGGAGCCATGGTTGTGGGAATTGCCCACTTTTGACGCCAATGGATGACCTTCCAAGCGACGAATTCTCCATTTGGGGAGGCTCCCTGGCATTACAACCCAACTGCTCCAATACATCCGGTTCAAGTTGTTAGATGTTTAGATGGTTATTCAACCCACAAGTTATGCACTTTTAGCAGGGGATCTGAAAACGGAAGCTCCAAACGCACAGCCAAGGCGCTTCTTGCTGCGTCGGCTGCTCTCCCGCCGGCGGCTGACCATGGCGCCGTTCGGCGGCACGCGAGTGCCGCTTGGGCCCCCCAGTGGCAAGCAGGATATGTTTGATGGATTTGTTGCAGTCACGAAGGTTGGTGTGTGCTCAGAGAAAAATACCGCTGTTGTTCTTGTCTTGGGTCCTGGCAAACTTGGTCTGCGCAAGCAAAGCGGATAGAGGACGCTGTAGCCAACGTGGTCAAATGCTGACAATTCCCCCCAGAAAACCCGTATCCTATCTCCTGCAAGCGACGCGAGCGAGTGAACCAGCATGGGTTGCTTGGCTCCAGGGTCAGTTTGCCTCGATTGCGTGCAGCAAGTGACAAGTTTCACATCTGGATCCACCAGAATGCAAGAAAACATTACACATGCCTGAATTTTTGCTCATGCCCCGAGCAAAAGGTCTGACCGTTTGTAGGCTTGCTGGAAGAGTCAAACTTGTTTCCCAAAGGTCTAAGGGGCGAAGGTCGCACCAAAGATGCTTCCCCCCCCCCCGATTGGCTGCAGAAAGCAAGCTCATGCACAAACCTTGCACACCTCAAAGTATGCAAATCCCGCCCCTTCCAATATTCTCACTCGTCACACCGCAACAGTCTGTTTGCCCCTACGTGTTCATTGCGAAAAGTCCCAACTCACACCTGATGGCTTGAAAGTCATCTTCTTGAGATCTCTTCCACACGGAACTGCCTGGGTGTAGCTGCCTGGCTTACCCGCTAGTGCTAACTCCCCGGGCCTTACAGGGCTATCAGAGGCTTCGAATATCAACTTCCGAACAGGATACCAACTCTTGGAAAAGCACAAACAAAGGAAAATTCTAGCAGCTCAAGCAACTAAAAACACAAAGCAAGCCTGAACAAGTGTAGTTACTTGGTTGCTGTTGAACCTCTGCAAAAAGTTCAACTTTATGTGGGTATGGAAGTTCAGTGCTTCCCAATCCGTCATCAAAAAGCCATAGTGATTATCTAAACTCTGCTGCCCCTTAGGGACCTGGAAATAAAA